TGGTGTCGAGGGTGTGGGAGTTTCTTGACTAGTTTCTCTGGAATGATGGTGTTAAAAGCCAAGGAACCATCATCAGCCACGTTTCTAGATAAGAGTGTTCTGTTTTCTGTGCCAAAGGTTAAACAGGCCAGTATTTTTGATAACAACAGATTGTTATGAGTTGGGTTTGGCAAAAAATGTGGCCAACAGTGAGATAAAATAATAGGAAACAGAATTACATAAAAGGAGAACAAATAAATGATAAATGCAAATAACATCAGAGGTCGAAGTAGTTCAGGTGGGTAACTGCATCAGCATGCATAGGCTGCAAAGGAACATGTAATGGGTGTATTCCATGCTGAAAAGAGAAGTGAGAAAACACAACGTTTCGGCTGTGAAGCCTTCTTCAAGGAACAGCCCATCCTAATTAATCTAATTGACTTATTGAGCCTCATTGAGCATAATATCTGATTGGCTAGGAAGAACAGCAGGCAAGAAGGAAGCGAAGTAAAAGGTTTGAGTGTTTAAGTCCTGATAAATTTGGTTTGACTCCTGGCCAGAGGACGAGGAAGCTGGGGTGAACCATGTGGACTGAGGGGTGACCAAGGGGCAGCTGTAGAGGTGGAGGAGGGATGCAAAAGACATGCGAGGAAGAGAAGGGGATTATATCTTTAAACATTTATAATGTTTAGGAGAGAAAAATTACATCAGGATTGATATACAGGTTACTGACACCTGAGGCTGATTGAACTTGGCTGTTGTCATCCATCCCGAACTCCATTAAAGATGATTCTCTTTTAAAACTGTTTACACAGTGTAAAAACATAAAAACCTTCTTTTAACTCCAAGGTTCCTGTTTAAAACAAATAATTGCCTTTATGAGGGCAATAACATTTGTTAGTTTTTACCAACCTAGTGACTTTGACAAGAGAACATGCGTGTTTTTTAAAAGCACTGGATTTTCTAAGAAAAATCTATGTGTATTTGCATAATAAACTATGTCTAGTTTTCAGATGTTAAATGTAAATATGGCTCTTGGAATATACCCATTGCTTTTTTCAGTATGATTATTTAAGGGGCAGCAGGCTTCTAAAAGGTAAGAAGAGGTATCCAGCTGTTGGTCTGATTGGCTGTCTGAGAAGAAAGGGAGAACATGAAGGAGACTGTGAAACATGGGTTCAGGGAGTCTTTTTGGAAGAGTGAGGTTTCTTTTTGAATACGTGTGCATTTGAGGAGAGTTTCCGAGAAAGACTTGAGTTCTGAGATCGTTTGGTCACTAGAGAGATGTTTTGCAACTGGTAAGCAACCTACCCGCTCAGGTATTTATATAGAGAAACTATACAGCTGAGGTTTGAATTTTTCCTTCCTTGTACTGTGTAAATAGAGGTGCAACATTTTCACTTTACAGCTGCTTCTGTCTGTTTTCCCTGAGACCTGCCTATTTTAAGATCCTGTTGACAGTATCTCTGCCCCCAGGTATGCCTTAATCAGTATATATTAAAGGTTTTACAATGTTCTTCTTCACTTTCCTCAGGACCCAGTCAAAAACACTGAAATTATTTTAAATTAAAAAATGACACTATATCTCCTGGATCTTTCCAAAGAAAAATAAAATCTTCTATTTCATCTGTAATTTATTTGGCTGTCGTATTTGTTCAAAGACGGATGAAGAAGTTCAAGTAGGCAGCTGCGTCAGCGTGCATAGGCTGCAAAGGATCAAATAAAGTTTTATTACTTGCCGAAAGGAAAAGAACAGACAACACTGAAGACGTGTGAAGAAGAAGGCACCTGAAGAAGACCCCCCAAACCGAAACGTTGTGTCTCTTTTCTTTTCAGCATGGAATAAACCTTTACTTGTTCCTTTGTCCAAAGTGGCTTACAGTTTGTACCCTGTTATACGGCTGTGTGGTTTACTGGAGCAAAAAGTAAAGCACAACAGCAGAGCCTTGCTGGGATCTGAACCTGCAAATTTCCTTTTACAAGTCCAGAACCCCTTCTCAATTCTCCCCCAAAGGAAAGCTGACTGACCTTCAAACACCTGCATACCTCCATTGCACTGTTATCCACACAGGGGTGCCCTCCAGTAAGACATGACCAGGAAAAGCTAGCTATCCAGAGAAAACAGTGCTAAGAATAGTAAGAGATCTTGATTTGTACGTCTTATGAAAATGGGACCTCCTAGAAAGGTTTGACAAATCAATGATCATTTTTTGATGACAGCAATAAATTGTGCCATCATCGAATCACCGATTTGAACATTGTTAATGTTTAACGTCATCTGCTAGATCTGCCTCTGTATCTGCTATCGTGCCCAGAACTGCATTAGCCATCAGGAGTCATTTATTCCTGTCCGGCTTAACATGGCACAATCTGGTGCTCTCTTCTCAAACCTGGTGCTCTCCTACCTTCTCCTGTGGACCACTGCAGGTAAGACTGGCTGAACACATCAATATCCATATTGCTGGAAAATAACGCATAGCAAACGTACAGATTTCGGCACTGAATGCTGAGAGCATGATCCCCCTACGGGGAAGGTATCAATGTTGGTTCTTTGTTAAACCTTTCTCGGGCATGTCCTAGAACTACAGGATAAGGTTTCTTAGTTTTTGTGCTTCTGCAGAACATTTGCCTTACATCCAGGTGAAAAAATTATGTGTTTTCTACTAATTCTCCAAATTCTACTTTTTTTCGCCCTGAAATTGGGGACTTTTCTCCATGGAAATTTATGTTCCTGCTAACCTTGACTTTTGATCCAGCAAAAACTAATTTTAAAAAGTCACAATATAACAAACAAAATTTCATTTTTGCTGAACAGCACAAAAGCTTCGAACTCATTTTGAACGTTTGAATTTGGACAACCTAAATCAAATATCCTCTTAGAT